AGGGTCAAGATGGTAAATTTTATGTTATGTAAATTTTACCACAATCTTAAAAATGAAGGAAAAAAGAAAAACAATTAGCCCCCTGGAACAAGCAACGAGTAAAAACAATAAAGAAGATTTCTATATATAAGTTTAAAACAGCATTGTTTAGAAACAAAACAGCAACAAAATGCTATTCCTAAATTACATTTACTAGGCTCAAAGGAGATGAATTTTTTTTCTTTGCCCCAAATCACACAGATAGAAAGTGGGTAGAGTCAGGATTTGAACCCAGTTTGGTCTGCGTCTGCAGTCGGGGCACCCATTGTTTCTATTGGGGAGTCTTGGCATTGGGGCAGGCCAGTTCTTTGTGGGGGGTACCGTCCCATGAAGTCCAGGTCACTGAACATCGTTCCAATTAGCTAGTACTCAAAACGTAGTGATTTAAACAATAACCTTTATTTTTTTATGGGGATTGACTGGGCTCAGCTAAGCAGTTCTTAGAGGCTTGTATGGATGCAGAGGCCATCAGACAATGGCTGGAGCTGGGTCATCTGAAAACTCACTCAGTCCTATGTCTAGCACCTGGGATTGGGAGGCTCAAACGGCTGGGACACTCCAGGCATTTCTCTCTTCTTGTGGTCTCTCTGGTATGGTGACTTCAAGGCAGCCAGACTTAAGTGGTGATCTGGGCAATAGTGTGTGCAGTGGCTTGCACCAGCTCGAGTGGATTGTGGGCAATTATTTCCAACCCCACTGTTCAGGGACTTCACATTGGTAGCTTGCAATCAGCCATGGTCGGTGTATTTACACCACAAAAATCAGCGAACATTACAAATCTAGACTTCTTTCCCCCCCTGGAGAACCAGTTGTTAAACATTCAGCAGTACACCACTGGACTCAGGGCTCAAAAGGCACATGTACTGAGAGTCAGGCAGAGACGGTATCCTGTTATAACCTGGCCTTGGAAGTCACTTCTGCAGTCACAAAGGCCTGCCCACATCAAGGGGAGGGGTGTGAATGCCACTACTTAATGGAGAATGGTCAAGTCCAGGAAGAGCATGTCAGATAGGTTGTGTTATTATAGCCATGTGGGGAAGATACAGTCTACTATAACATCATGGGTCCCTGGAAACAGTACCAGTAGCATCCTCCAGTCACAGTGACAACAAATAAACTACACACACGTGCTCCCAGACACCCAGGCAGCAAGGCAATGAATGCTGTGCCTTACATGTCCCATACTGACCCAGCCAGTGGATGGCATTCAGCCATGTGGACATGTGGCTACAAGGTATCTCGTGACTCTTAGCGGAGCGTCCCAGGGCTCATAAGGTACATCACTTGAAGGTCCTTACTCCTCAGTGTGAGGGGCCACCCTAGCTTCAAAATCCCCCATTGGCCAGTGACCCACACCCACGAAGCTATGCTCTGGTGAATTTCACGTCCTGCCTGGCAAGCTAGTGGACTTGCTTATAAATTGCAGCTAATTTTTAATGCAACTAATAGCCACTGGTGTTGCAAAGCACCTCCTAGTCTCTAAAGCCGGTCTCCACAACTGAATCACTCGGTAGTGGGAGTGAAGGGGGTTCAGGCTTCTTGCCATGTCCACAGGCCACTTGTCTGAGACAGGTTTATTTCTTAACAAGACCTCAATCAATTCATTTAAAAATCATAACAGATGACACGAATCGAGCACTTCCTGGCATTAGGTAACAGAACAAGTATTAGATCATTGCAACCTCTTAACCCAAGGCAACCTCCAAGAATTGTTTGGCCATTAAAACAAAATGAGGGGATTCAGTGAGATGAACCAGCTTACATGTTCAGTGTCTTAATAAGGGCCCAGTAAATGTCACCAGATGAAAATATCATAGCTAAATGGTTGCTCATCATCTTTTTATGATATGTAATAAAAATAGCAGCTAACACAATTTAGTGCTTAATATTAAATTAATATCAATCACTCTTATTTATGAAACACCATCAGTTTCTCTTAAGTGCTTTACAAATGTTAACTCATTTCTTCCTCACAACAACCCTATGAAGTAGATGCTGTTAACATCCCCATTTTCAGAAGAGAAAACTGAGGCACATAGAAAGTAAGTGAAGTGCCCTTGGTCATGCAACTAGCAAGGAGCATAGCTGGGACTTGAACCCAAGCTGGCTAGATCCACATTCAAGGTTTTTATCACTAGGCTGTTCTACCCGTTAGGGAAATGAAAAGAATCACTAGGTCTTGGGCTAATCACTGAGTTCTCGTTAAATAAAGGTGGTTTACCTCGCTAATCCTCAGTTTCCTCATCGGTGAAAGTGGGTTTCTAATGTGTAATGTGATGAATTGTTCATTTTACATTTCTTTTTTGAACACTTATTATGTGTCAAGGAATGGCATAGACACTGTGATATGCAGTATGCAAAGTAAACAACAGTTCTGTCCTCGCAGTGATTACAATGTGGTGAGGGAGACAGACAATAAAGAAGATAATTAAGTAAATTATATATATGTAGATGTGGGGTGTGTTAGGCAATGGACGCTTTAGAGAAGCATAAAGTAAAGAAAAGGGGAGGGGGAGTAGGTGGTTGTCATAAGGCTCTGAAATTGTAATTAAGGTGACCAGGGACAATCTCATGGAGAAGCTGATATTTGAGCAAAGACCTGAGGGAATTACAGAGTTGAGCAAAGAAATTCTCTGGATTCAGGTGGAGGAAACAACCTGTGCAAAGGCCCTGAGGTGTGGAAGCCCCGTGTGGCTGGGGCAGCGAGTGAGCATGAGATAAGAACAGTGAGGTGATGGGGGCAGATCGTGGGGGCCCCTGTCGGCCACAGTGAGGACTTTGCCTTTAACCTAAGTGAAATGGAACCACAGGAGGGCTCTGAGCAGGGAGGGACAGGATTTGACTCAGGTATTCACACCTGATCTCGCTGCTTGTGAGGAACAGACAATTGGGGAAAGAAGGGAGAAAGAGAGATGGTCCTGGTGAGAGGTGATGAGAATGGATGGGATCCCCAAGGGAGTGAGTGTTGACAGAGAATTGGAGGTTCAAAGGCTGATCTCTGACATTGCAAGATCAGAGGGAGGAAGATGGAACAACAGCCAAGGAGACTAGGAACCACCAGACAGATGGGAGAGGTGGAGAGTGGTAACCCAGAGTTAAGTGAAGGGGTAGTAACCCCACTGTGTCAGGTGCTGCTGACAGGTCAAGCAAGGTGAGAACAGTGACTATTGGCTCAGCACCAAGAGGGTCATTGGTGACCTTCACATTTCAGGGTGAGGAAGGGGTAAAGCCTGATTAGAGAAGGCTTAAGAGAGAACAAGAGTAGAATATATAGAGGCAGTGAGTATAGACAACTTTTGCGAGACATTTTACTATGAAGTGGAGCAAAGAAATGGGGCCATAGCTGGAAGAGAAGGTGGGATCAAAAGGTTTGTTTTCAGATGAGAGAGATGACACTGTGTGGGATAATGGGGATCCAGTTCAGAGGAGGAAACTTGAGGGGCAGCAGAGAGAGAGGACAACTGTAACACCGTGGCTCGGAGTGGGCAGGAGGGAGGGGTTGACGTACACAGGGGCAGTCACATTGGGAAAGCGCAGGGGCAGCTGTGTGGGTACAGGAGCAGGTAGGTGGTCGATGGGGCAGTGGGGGAGCTGTGGAAATTTGCTTCTCATCACTTGCATTTTTTCTGCAAAATAAAAAGCAATGGGACAGTTAAGAGGTGGGAGGAGATGTGATGGAATAGAGGAAAGGGGAGAAGGTGTGAAATAGTTATCTATACAGACGAAGAGAGAGTGGATAAGAAAAATGTAATCTGATTGCTGGGCAGCTTTAGGGGCTTGAGGATCAGGTTCACAAACTTGAGTGAAACCAGCCAGTGGAGTTTTGTATTGTTCTTCAGCCACTTTAAACTGTTGTGGGTACAGACACAGGGTAGGTAAAGGGCTGGATTTAACCAGGGTCACATGTAGGAGGAAGCCAGAGGAGGCAGGCTGTATGCAGAGAATGTTTTTAATGATTAATCAAGGAATGTAAACTAGATTAGGAAGAAATGAAGACTTGAGGGGGTGTGGGGCAGTGAAAGGAGATAGGCACAAAGGACGGCAGTGGGTTGGAAGGATTGTGGGGCACTAGAGGTAGAGCTGGAAAGACAGAAGGTGATGGGTGAAAAGATGCCTACGAATGAAGTTCTGGAGAGGCGGTGGTTATTGAGACAAGGGCCACCATGGGAGGCAGGGACTGAGAGGAGAGCAGGCCAGGGAACAGAGAGGTAGGGGTGGCAGAAGGATCACCTACCTGGATATGAAAATCACCAAAAATGATGATGAGAGCAGGGGGTTGGCAGTGAGCCTGGAGCTAAAATTATGGAGAAGTGAGGGGTAGTGATCTGGGTCAGCAGATGGTGCACATGGTGGATACAATCTAGTCTGATGACAAGATTCATAGCTGGGGGCTTTAGAACAGGGTGGAGGGAGAATGGTCTGGGAGCAGCACCAAGGAGCAAGGAGATTTGCCCACTTGAAAGGGCCTCAGGAGAGCTGGTTCTAGTTAGAACAAGAAGGTGGCAAGAATGTTCAGTGAAGAGATTGAGGAAATAGATGTTTCTGAAGATAGTTCATGAAGTTCCAGAGGCCAGAGGAGCTGGAACGGGTTGGGGAATGAGGTGAAAATGGTTTCCTCCTAGTGGGTTTTTCTCGTGGGTCTTCAGTGTGGTTATGGTCGTATACATAAAGTGCTTAGCCTGACACAAGTGCGCCGGCCAGAAATGTAAGCTATGGCTAGCAGTCCCGGTGGAGTCATGGTCTGTCCAGGGGTATCTTGCTCAGAGGAAAGCCCTCTGCCCTCGATCATCCCTCCGGAGTCAGGTGGCAGCAATTAGGTGCCCGGTTTTCGAGACTGTGGCAGTACCCCTGTTATCCATTGGAGCTGGTGGGGTCACGGCCAAGACGCAGGGACCTCGCGTCCTGGGAGAAGTGGAGGGAGACCAGACCGCCCTGACCCACTAACCCCTCTCAACCCGCAGGATTCCAGCGGCCGGATATGGGCGCCCGGCCCTCGAAACGGCGGCAACCCGCGGACCCGCCCATAGCGTTGGACGCGCTGCCCCCCGAGCTGCTGGTGCAGGTACTGAGCCACGTGCCGCCACGCGCGTTAGTGACGCGCTGCCGCCCAGTGTGCCGCGCGTGGCGCGACGTAGTGGACGGGCCCACCGTCTGGCTCCTGCAGCTGGCCCGTGACCGCAGTGCCGAGGGCCGCGCACTCTATGCGGTGGCCCAGCGTTGCCCTCCAAACAGCGAGGACGAGGAGGAGTTCCCACTGTGCGCCTTGGCGCGCTACTGCCTACGATCGCCTCTTGGCCGGAACCTCATCTTCAATTCCTGCGGAGAACGTGGGTGCCGGGGACTGCGCCGAACGGTGGGGGCGAGGCCACGGGCGGGGCCGAGTAGGTGTGGGTTGCGGACCTGGGTGAGGCGGAAAGAGTGGGCGTGACCAAAACGAAGGAGACGGGGGTGGGGCCAGGGCAGGGAATCAGGGGAGTGGTCGAGGACAAGGCCCTTGGGAAACTGGGTGGGCGAGGCCAAGAAGGGGAAGAGACTGACTGGATGGGATGGGGGCTGTGGGCAATAGAAGGAGACGAAATGGATGGGCGAGACAAAGCGGGAGGAACCAGAGGGCGGGGCCGTGGCAGGAACGGTGCAGCGCTGGGATTGTAGGCTCGGTCGGCGTGACTAAAGAGGGAGGAGCTAGGGGAGCTGGGGAGAAGCTGATTGGGTGCTAATAGGAGCTTGCATATGTCATTGAATGGCTGAGGGAGGCGGGACTAAGCGAGTGGGCGGGGCCAACGCAGGATTTAAGAGGATGTTGCAGGAGGGGTTGGGACCCTGAGTGGATGGGCAGAGCTGAGTGACGCGGTCATGGGAAGGGACCAGGAATGCCCGCTGTTGGGAGGCGGGGCCAGAGTAGAAGAAGCCGGGGCTGGAACGCAGGAGGGGGATGCTGGAGAACAGAGCAAGTGGGTGTGGCAGGCTCTCTGCTGGGCGGGCTGGCAGGCGAATCCCTTGTCTTCAACCCCGTTGTATCTCACAGAGGGCTTCAGAGGCTGGGAAGTGGAGCACGGCGGGAATGGCTGGGCTGTGGAAAAGAACTTAACACTGGTGCCGGGGGCTCCTTCCCAGACCTGTTTCGTGACTTCTTTCGAGTGAGTGGTCCTTGGTTCCTGGGGCAAGGTCCTCAAGGAGGGAGGGTAACCCTTCCCTACCGTCCTCATCCTCACCCTCACCCACCTTCACCCTCCCCTCATTCATTTATTCAGTCAGGCAATCAACAAATACAAGCTATAAGGAGAATTCAGAAATATTAGGAACCTGCTGGTTTTTCATTTGCATTTTAGATGTTGGGTGGGGGGAGACATTAAACACAAACAGTAAAATAACAAGAACACAGTAAACATTTAGAATACTTACTCTCTGCCACATGCTTTACATATAACTCTTTTAATCCTGGTAATAACACTGTGACACAGATACTATTGTTATATCCACTTTATAATAGGAATCTGAGGCATAGAAGGTAACCAACATCAAGTAAATAGTGGAGTTGGGATTTGAACCCAGGTAATCTGGCCCCAGAGCTTCTGATTGTGATAAATGCTATGAAGACATCAGAACAGTTTGATTGGTTGGTTGATTCTCTTTATCCTCATACCCCGTGCCCATTTTCCCTGTCCCCTGCCCCCATAGTCAACCATTCTCATATGGCATTATCCAGCTTTCTAGTAGTTGCCATATATTAGGGGTGAAGTGATATCTCATTGCTGTTTTAACTTGCATATTTTGATTTACTAATAATTAAGCTTCTCTTCATGTGCTTGTCAGCTTTTTGGATTCCCTCTTTTGTAAATTTCCTGTTCATATTTTTCTATTAGGGCTGATGTCTAATTCTTGTTGATATACAAGAATTCTTTGTTTATTCTAGATATCCGTCCTTTGTCCATCCTGAACACTGTGAAAATCTCCCACTCTACCATCTGTATTAACTATCTCTATGGTGTTCTTTGTTGTTGTTTTCGTATGATCAAATTCATCTCTCCTTTTTTTGCTTTAGAATTTGTTTTTGAAATTTTTTTTAAAAATCCTTTCCTATCCTTAGACCCAAACAATATTCTCTTATATGCTTTTCTAGTAAACTTGTAGTTTTATCTTTCACATTTATATCTTTAATCCACCTTTGAATGTGGTGCTAGGCAAGGATCCAGCTTACCCCTTTCCCCATATATTGAGCCAGTTTTCCCAACACTATCTACTAAAGAACTTATCCCTTCCCCATGGAGTGGCTGTGCTGCCTCTATCATTTATGAAGTTCCCATGCATACCTAGGTCTGTCCCTAAGCACTCTATTCTGTTCCACTGTCAGCTTCTCAGTTTTTCCATCAGTACTACACTATTTCTATTATTATGGCATATTCAAATGAGGGGAGATGATCTGTTTACAAAGATGTAGGCAGACCACAAGGGATTCTGTAGGACCCCCAAGCCAGTAACAGTGGGGAAAAGTAATTACCACTCCCCAGGGGAGAAAGCGGTTACTGAAATATAAGACAGAGAAGGCTGTGAGGAGAGGGCATTGTGGAGCTGTGCCCTTTCATTGAGAGAGACAGCAGTCCCATGATGATCCTGTGGGAGGGAGCCAGGAGAATAAATACCCTGATTTTACTCTCTTCTCTCCCTTCTGTCTCCTGCTGGAGCTTCCCATTGGCTGACCCAACAGGAAGTAGAGGGTAAGAGAGACCAGTCGGTACAGAAACTACAACCTTAGATCTTGGGCAGCCACTCTTTAGAAGACGCCAGAATTCCTGGCTCAATGTGGGCCTCCATTTGTACTCATGTCCCAGTCCCCACAAATATTAGAGGCAGGCCTGCATCCAGGTCAGCTTCCTGGAGCACAGGGCAGGGTGGAGAATGGTGGAGAGATGTGAGAGGCCAACCGGGATGCCCAGCCCATCACACATCTTGTCTAGAGAGGAAACCCTGAGGAGCTGCTTTAAACAGGATGTCAGGGGACGCTTCTGGGAGGAGGTGATTTCCAGGCTGTGATTGTCTGTTCCGTCCCCCACCCCTACCATCTCCCCTTCCCAGATGGTGCTTCAAGCGGCAGCTTGTGGACTTGGTAATGGAGGGGGTGTGGCAGGAGCTGCTGGACAGCGCCCAGATTGAGATCTGTGTGGCCGACTGGTGAGTGAAGAATGGCAACCTGCCCCCAGAACCAATGATGATGGCAGCCGTTCTGCAAAAGTGGCTCATTTCGTGCCCCCATCAACGCCATGGGTTGGCCACTGTTACTGTGCTTCCTTCATAGGCTGAAAGAGGGGAAGTGATGCTCTCATAGTTGCAGAGCCTTAGTGAGCCCAGAGCCCCCACTCTGCGCTCCGCCCACCTCTTTCCAGCAGGCCCCAGGGTTGTTGACCTGGGGACCACTGATGGCTTGGCTTGGCTTGGTCTGAAACAAGGCACTCCCCTTCACCCACTCCACCCCCATCACCTGCAACTCCATGCTGACCCTAAGGGCTTGTGGACACCGAGGCCTCAGAAGGGTTGGGAGCACTGAGCCCTAAAACCAAGGCTCAGAAGGGGAAGAGTTAGGCCAGGGTACTAGCTGGCTTCAGAGCCTGCGGACCTATGATGAGCCCCCTCTTCTCCAAAGCACCCAGGTTCCTTCACAGAGCACTCCAGCTCCCCCTCTCTCATGCGCTTTGCTCCTCCACAGAAAACCCAATTTCTTCCCTGGGACTCTGTCTCCTCCCCAGAGCTGTGGCTACCCCAGAGTATCCAGATTCCTACTCCCCCAGGCTCCTCCCCAGAAATACCTAGACTCCTCCTCCCCCAGGTAGTGGTTTCTCCCCAGAGTACCATACTCCCCACACAGATACACACCTAACCCAAAGCCTCCAGGATCCACCCCAGGAGCACCCAGCCTCCTCCCTCCAGAATCCCAGGCTGAAACCTCTCCATAAGGGGTGCGGGTATGTGTGACCCTCATCAAAATGCAGGAAGGCCCAGCCTTCAGCCTCCCTCCCCCCAACCCAGAGACTGGATGGGTGGCAGGGGCATCAAAGGCTCACGGCCACATGGCAGGTGGGGCGCCAGAGAGAACTGCGGCTGCATCTACCGGCTCCGGGTCCGCCTTCTGGACGTGTATGAAAATGAAGTGGTCAAGTTCTCAGCCTCACCCAACCCGGTTCTTCAGTGGACTGAAAGAGGCTGCCGACAGGTGGGTCCAGACCATTTTCTAGACCACCCCTGACCTCCTGAAAGGCACACCTAACCTTTCATCCTGCTCAGATTTCCTTCCCAGCTCATATCACCACTGGATATTTATAGTAACAGCTAACACCTTTGAGCTCATTACATCCCAGGCCATGTTCCAAGAGTTTTCCCTATTAATTTATTTCATTAGCACAATAGCCTAGTTGTTCAACATACATTTACTGAGCACCTAATGCGTGCTGGGCATTACTCTAGGTGCTGGGAATGCAGCGGTGAACCTTGCTCTATCCCCATTGTAGATGTGAGGAAACTGAGGCACAGAAGGTAATGTGACTGGCGCAAAGTCACACTAAAGCTTGCAGGGCCTGATTCCAGCCCAGGCTGGCTCCCAAGCCTATGCTGTCATCATCATTGCACTTCAGTTACCAAAGTGACCTTTTAGGTGGTTTGTTTCCACTCCTGATCTCCTCCTACCCCCCCCCACCCAACACCCAATCTCAGTATCCAGAAAGATCCCATTAAAAAGCTAATCAGATCACGAGTCTCCCCTTCTTGTGACCCTACTCCCATAGCGACATCTCAGAGTAAAAGCCAAAGTCCTATGATACAGCCATAGAAAGGAATGAAGTACGGATCCATGCTACAATATGGATGAATCTTGAAAACAGTACACTAAGTAAAAGACGCTAGGCACAAAAGGCCACATATTGTATGACTGCATTTATATGAAACGTCCACAATAAGCCATAGAGACAGAAAGCAGATAGATTAGTGGTTACCAGGGGTTGGGGGAGGGAGAAATTGGAAGTAATGGCTATTGAATATGAGGTTTTATTCCCTGGGGTGATGGAAATGTTCCAGAATTAGATAGTGGTGATGGTTGCATAACATTGTGACTATACTACAAACCACAGAATTGTATAGTTTAAAATGGTGCATTTTATGTTAGGTGAATTTTAGCTCAATAAAGAATTGCAAAGGATAAAAAAAGCCAGAAACCAGGAGCATTCAAGATCTTGCACCCCAGCGTTATGTTGTCAGTTTGGCTCAAATAAACTCATAAAAGCAAGAAGCCAAAGTCCTTCCTTGGCCCAAAGACCCCACACCATCCACCAATTACCTCCCTGACCCCCTCTCCTACTTCTCCCCTCACTCCACTCTAGGCACGCTACCTCAGGGCCTTTGCACTGACTGGTCCTGTCGGGAAGTCTTCCTCCTCCTCCAATGGCTCCCTCCCCTCCTTCAGCTCTCTGCTCAAATGTCACCTCAGTGGGGCCTTTGCTTACTCACTTCACAACCCCGCCCTCCTGCAGAATTCCCATCTATTTTCAGTGTCTGGGTCCCCTACTAGGTGGCCAGCTCCACCAGGGGAGGGTCTTTGTGCCACTTTCTTCACTGCTGTATCCCAGCTCCTAGAGCAGGACCTGGCACCTACTTGGTGTTGCAGAGTATCTGCCCAGGAGGTGAAGGAAGAGGAGCCCATCACAGGTCCTTACCCTTTTGTTCTTCTTCCCCATACAGGTCTCCCACGTCTTCACCGACTTTGGCAAGGGCATCCGCTATGTGTCTTTTGAGCAGTATGGGAGAGACACGCGCTCTTGGGTGGGACACTATGGCGCCCTTGTGACCCACTCCAGCGTGAGGGTCAGGATCCGCCTCTCCTAGCCCACCAACCTGATCAGGCCTTCCAGGACCTACTGCCACCTGCCAGACATTATTGCCAATCAAGGGCTTTGCAGCTGGGGATATCGTGTGGCCTGTTCCCAGCAAGCCTCCACCGAATCCCACTTGGGGCTACTTCAGCAGTGGCCCAGATGCTGTTTGAGAAACCAGGAATCCAACCGGGCTGTTCAGAGGTTCTCCAACTCTGTGTGTCAGGGGGGGTTCAAGGAATAGCTTAAGACTTTTATTTTGCCAGAAAATTGTTTTCTTTCACATATGGATGTTAGTTGGTAGACCAAGTCAAAAAACAAAGGTCAAACCAGGATTTCTAATGGGGAAAAGCTGTCGACAACCTGGGACAGACTCTAGTTGGCATGTTTCCAGGGTAAGCTGATTGCTGGCAGAGGCCAGTCAGGGCAGCTTGTCCTTGAGGGGACCAACAGGGGCATCAAAGGGAACCCTTTCTGTTGTTTTGAGGAGTCTGGCATTCAGCTGTGAGGCCGGTGCAACCTCCTCCAGTACTGCCCATCAGCACCTCCCCTTGGGGCCAGACTGGTGCTATTTCCTGCAGAATTCGAGGCCCTGCCAACCCCCAAACTGTCCTCCACCTGCACCTCCTACCCCTGCCTCAGAGGCAGCTCGCCTCCTGCAGGGCAAAACCCTCCTTGTCTCCACTGGAGTCCACTTGCATGCAAAGTCTAGGAGAAAAGCTCTCCTGTCCTGACTCCCATGTCTTCTGCTTCCTCTAGCTGGGCACAGCCACCAAACTAGCTCAATAAAACTGGTGCTAAATGTGATGGGGAACTTTTGCCTGTAATCAATGCACTCATCTCCCCCCACTCTGATTCTAAAAGGATTTGTGAAATGTTCTCAATTAGGAGAACTTCAGGAGGTGTGGTAAGCATTATGCTGGAAATGGAGGTAGGCTACAAGGCAGCACTGAGCAGCTTCCATGCCAGTGCTCAGGGTTCTCCCAACAGCTCTCAGGCAGGTACCATTATCAACGCCATTTAGTCAAGGAGGAAAACAGGCACAGTTTAATGACCTGCCCAAGGTTGCCTTGCCAGAAAGTAGGGGAGGCAGGACTTGCACAAGTCGGGTTCCAGAGCCCAAGGATATAAGCACACACAGTGGCCGAGCACATGATCAGGTGAGGTCAGTTTTACTCTCAGGATCATTTTCCAAGGAAGGAAACAGGCCCAGAGGGGGAAACAAACCCCAAGTCACAGAACAACTAAGAGGTCGAGGCAAGATTTGAACCCAGGTGTGTGTCTAACACAGAAGACCAGCTCCCATGTAGGCAGCAGCACACCCCATTCCATCCTTTCAAAGCCCCTTCGTTACCATGATTATAACTACTGCCAGTTTTCAGGAGGAAGCTTAAGGATGAGGCTTTCCTTGTCCAGGGCCTGTGGCCTACAGGAAGGGGAACTGGGTTTCAGTGCTGCCACCCAACACCCAAGAGTAGCCACCCACATGTGCTTTGCAGAGAGTGTCTAATTTAATCTTCACCAAATCCAACAAAGGGGATGCTGTGAGTGAAGGCGGTAATTGAGGGGCTGTCAGTTGCCAAGACCACACAGAGAGTGAATACCAGACAAGGTGTACACATCACAACCACGGGGTCTGTATGTTTATTACAACCCCTTCCCATTAGATGGCGGTACAGTGGATTGTCCCAGCAGAAGAGGTCCCTTGCACCAACACTCTATACATGCATGCCAAGGGTGTTGGCAGAGGGGGAGCCTTTTGCTAATTCACACTCAGGACTCCTATGGGCTATCTGTGGTCCTAATGGAAGAGGCAGAACCAGGCTCTGAACCAGGACCAGCGACTTCTAGAGCTGGCCTAGCTTCCCAAGGATATTGCAGGAACCCAGAGAGGAAGGTTCTTGTTCCACGTGAACCCCAGCACACCATGCCCCTAGAGGTCACTTCTTCTGCACATGGCCACAGTCGTACTTGCCACGCACAACCTTGAGCTTGACCCCAGGCAGGTCCTGAGTGCGGCCACCCTGCACAAGCACAATATGGTGCTCCTGCAGGTTGTGGCCTTCTCCGGGGATAAAGCAGACAGCCTCACGACCTGTGCTGAGCCGCACACGGCAGCACTTTCGGTTGGCTGAGTTAGGCTTCTTGGGTTTGCGGATGAACGTGCGCAGGACCACACCCTTTAGCTGTGGCCGGCCTTCTGTAGGACCCAGAATTGGAGGCGGCCGCTTTGGAAGCCCCTTGCGGTGCATCTGGTTCAGGGTGGCCATGGGGCGGGTGGCCCAGAGCGGGGGGACCAGGGATAGGCCTGGAGAGAGACAACCGGAAGGGCGGAGGGGGGTTATTATCCCAATGAACAGATAGTATTAGTGACTCAATTCTGGTGTTCTAGGCACTGTTCCAAGCATTATATTTACAAGTATATGTTTGTTTATATCTAGGGGTATGCGCAGACAATAGTAATAACAATTAACATTTATTGAACAACAACATGGCAGGTTCTATTTTAAGCGTTTTACACGAATTAACTCATTTTATTCTGCAAGGAAGATGTTAATTTTAATGCTGTTTAAACAGAATAATAAAAGCAAACAGGCTCATGCTGTGTAGCATACTACTCTATGCATCATACCTACATTAACTCATGCCATCCCCACAGCAACCCTGCGGATTCCAGAGAGTTATCGCTCCTACTCCTCCTGTCACACCCACTTCCAACCCCCATAAGCAGGTCCTGTAAACTGAACTTACAAATGGACCCTTTCTCCCTCCCTCCATGTACCCACTTTAGTCTTGTCCACTCTCTTTTCCTGTGTCCTTTTCCTCCCGGTCTCCCTACTCCCACTGTCTGCTCCAATGCGCAGCCAGAGGGACCCTGTGGGTACCTGGGTCAGATCACATCCCTCCCCTACTCAGAGCCCTTCTGTGGCGCCATCTTACTTAGGATAAGTAAGAGCCAAAATCCCACAAGATCTGCCCCATTAATTCCCTGACCTCCTCTCCCCACTCACCTCCTTGCTCACCCTGCTACAGCCTGTGTCCCTAGCCAGACCAACAGAAAGGAGACCAGTGTAGTTACACTGTAGTAAGAGGAAAGGCAGGTGGGGGAATATATTTCCAAGGCAGACCCACAGAATTTGCTCATGGATAGGGTGTAGGATATAAGAAGATTCAAAGATAACTGGATTCACTTCAACAAACATTCATCGAGCACCTACTGTGTCTTGGCCCCCAATAATGGAGACACAGTGGTGACTCAGCCATGACCTTTTGAAGCTCGCAGTCCAGGGCTTTGAGGTCCACCCTTTCTCTCTATCACTAGCACGGAGGACTTTTCACACCCACACTTCACACTCCCCTCCAATCCAGGGCAGATCCTGGCCCTACTGTTCATTTCTACGAGTCCTTATGTCTCAAGTTACAGAATCCTCAAAGGAGATGAGACATTTCTAGAAGTGTCTTCTTAGTGGTGTGCCCTTGAGCAAGACTGCCTTTCACTGTCTCCCATAATCACATCTCACTCCTGAGCACCCTGAGAGGCTACCATGAGATCTGCATATCAAGCTACCCAGATTCCCCAGTTAGGGTACAGGCCTGCCTTGCCCAGCCTTGTGATCCTTGGTGAGTGGCAAACAGAAGGTGCTTAATAACGTTTTGCAGAGTGAGTGAGTAGTGAATGAAATACTACACAAAGGGCATGGCCCCTGAGAAGCATTTAATGTTTGTTAAAGGAATAAGTTCATAAATAAAGCGTCCCTCTCACTACCTGACACATATACGGCTCTTGAAAAATATCAACTGAATGAATGATTTAAACGTCTTGCATAGATGTCTCACCTACGGGAGGAATTTAGTAAGTGCAATATTTGCTGAAGAAATAAATAATTGACCCAAACTCCTGGTACTCACTCGACAAATAGTAGCCCTCAATAGAACTACTTCTCACATCTTGCTTTTGCAGCACGAGCTCCGCCAAAACCCATCGTATATGCATCCCTGATTTAAAATCCTGATTCCCTTGGGGCTGCAGCAGAGGCACACAAGTCCCAGGAGAGATAACCTTCGTCCAGCCTCCTCTCTTAAGTCTAAGCCCCTCACTTACCATAACTTAGGGACGTGTTGAGGCCACGGAGAAGACCAGACCAGGACATCCCGCCGCCTGCAGCGTCCCTGTCTGAGGGGACAAGAGACTCAGAAAGGAAAAAAGTGGCCGTAGTAGGCCTAGCAAGGATCCAAACTCTCCCTTCCCGCTCTCGGGGCCTTCTGGTTAAATCTAAGGAATTTCATCTGATGCCTCGCTCTGAGTAGCGTCCCAGGAACCCAACCGCCCCCTCCCGTATTATGGATAAAAGAGGGGCCTGAGGAGAGTGCGAGGGAAGTTTGGATGACCCCAGAACTCCATCTATCTCACCGACCTCACCAGGGTCTGCAGACACGCTGAAGCCAGTTTCTAACCACTTCCGGGGGATAAGCCTAGCAGGGATTGGAGGGCTCTGCAAGCGCGTACACCAAAAGGGCGGGGTACAGACAACAATTGGGCTACGACGGAGTCAATCTCGGTCAACTTTTGTCGTTGAATTGTTTTTTGAGATATGGGGAGGTGCGTCCATTCAGACGTCTGCTTTGCAATTGGTCTAAACGTGGAGTGGGCGGGACGAAGGTTATCTCTTCTGGCACTTGTGTGCCTCTGCTTGCTCCCCATCCAAGATGGCTGCGTCCATAGTGCGGCGCTTGTGGCCCTTGGCGGCCTGCCGGGGGCTCCGGCCCCGAGGAAGCTGCGTCTGCAACCAGAGCCCAAGGAAAAGTTTCGCTACGGAGAGACGAGACCGAAACCTCCTGTACGAGCACGCGCGCGAGGGCTACAGCGCGTTCCCTCAGCTGGACATGGAGCCGCTGTGCGCATGCCCGGAAGAGGCCGCGCGCACCTTAGAGGTCCGCAAGGGGGAGCTGCGGCCAGAGGATCTGCCAGCAATCGTGAGTGCGCTTGCGTGGCTAGCAGTCGTGAGGCCGAAGCGCTTTACCTATTGGCTGTCCGCTTTACGAACGAAGTGGGCTTCCAAGAAAGTCTCATGCTGGAGCGAAGTTATTGCAGGAATTCTAGTTGCTTCCGAAGTGTAGCAAGCGTGTTTTGTGCTTGGCCCCCCACGGATGTGCCGTTACCACGGAGTGCTAAGGCTCTATTATCTACACACCCAATTATGCCCATATTCAGTAAAGCGTGCTGAGTACTTACTCTGCGCTGGGAATTTTGTGCCAATGATCTCTGTGCTTTTACCTCTTCCCAGGTTTATCCTAAGGCCAAATCCAAAGTAAAATAAAGGACAGAGATGTGAGTTAGACGGGATGAGGGGATGGAGGTGGTTCTTGCCTTTGGAGAGTGAGAAGTAGAGTCCTGCCCCTACCCCATACGTAGCAGGCAGTTAAATAGGGTTATTTAATGAATGAATGGTTCTATTGAACAGATATTTAGGGAGCACCTACTATGTTCCAGCTGTTGAGAATAAAGTGGTGAATAATAATAAATACCTAGCACTTACATAATACTAAATACTTTTTGGGGGGAACTAGCATTGAGGTCACCATACTTCTAGGCCCTGCTGGGTTGCTGAGGATGGTGGGGACCCCAGATCCTCCCAGCCCTCTCTTGGACTCCCCTACCATCCTGTTCTAAGTGCTTTATATATATTAGCTTCATTTAAGTTTTGCAACAATCCTGTGAGGAAGGTGCCATTATTTCCCCCATTTTATCATAGGGGAAACTAGGGCTCAGAGAAGTTAATTAACTTGCCCAAGATCACACAGCTGGTAAGTGGCAGAGTGGGAATTTGAACCTATGCTGTCTGGCTACAGAATCCAGTCTTAACTATCCTACTATGCTTATTCATGAGCAAGACAATCTTGAGTTGACAGTCTAATGAAAGAGAGATATCTAACATACAATTAAAAACATAATCTGTGGTGCTATGAAGACAGATTAGCGAACACAGTACTGGGACGGCTTCTCAGAGGAGGAGGCATTAGACAAACATCTGTGAAATGAGTAAGGTTAGCCAGGGGAACGGGAGAAGTGTGTTCCCAGTGGAGGGACCAGCGCTTACTAAAGCCTAGAGGCAGAATGAAATATCCATTTGGTGGACATGTAGGTAATTTAGAGTGTCACACCCTTTGGTAGCATTTTTCAAACTTTGTGGCCAAGAGTAAGAAATACCTGACCCAGTACGCACACCCCAAGTTGAAACCAAAGTTTCATGAACAATTCTTGCTCTTACTACGTGTGATGCATTCTTATGTTTTGTTATAGTCTATTTAATTTTAAAAAGTGCTGGCTTAGACACCCATTAGAATGGCCATTATCAAATACGCAGAAAATAACAAGTGTTGGAGCAATTAGAACCCTCTGTATTGCTGGTGGGAATGTAAAATGTTATAGCCACTGTGGAAAAACAGTCTGGCAGTTCCTCAAAAAATTAAACAGAATTACCATATGGTCCAGCAATTCCACTTCTGGGTATATTCCCAAAAGAATTAAAAGCAGGGACTTGAATAGATATTTGTACACCCATGTTCAAGCAGCATTATTTACAATAGACAAAAGGTGGAAACAACCCAAGTGGCAGAATGGATAAACAAAATGTGGTATGTATGTATGTATGTATGTATGTATCTATCTATCTATCTATCTATCTATCTATCTATCATCTATCTATCTACCTATTGATAGGTAGATAGATAAACACACACAGTGGATTATTCAGCCTTAGAATGGAAGGAAGTTCTGACAGATGCTACAACATGAATGAACTTTGAGGACATTGTGCTAAGTGAAATAGACTGGTCACAAAAATACAAATACTGTATGATTCCCCTTAGAGGTACTTAGTCAAAATCATAGAGACAGAAAGAGTGGTGGCTGCCAGGGACTGGCAGAGGGGAGAATGGGAGTTAGTGTTTAATGGGTACACAGTTTCAGTTTGGGAAGATGAAAACATTCTGGAGATGGATAGGGGTCTTGATAGTACAAGAGTGTGAATGTACTTAGTGCCACTGACCTTTACACTTAAAAATGGCTAAAATGGTAAATTTTATGTATATTTTACCACAAATTTTTTAACACATTTGAGGACGGGGTATTTAAATATATAGACACAAATCTGTGTCACCAGTCCACAATGTGTTAAGTGCTGGTTTAGAGATCCTACATTAATTTTATAATCCACTAGTGTGTTATAAAACCCAAAGCTTGAAAAACACTGCTTTAGGCCATATAGTGTGAAGAGGGATATGACATGTGACTTTGCAGGCCATAGCAAGGGATGTGATTTGTTCCTAGGAGCACTGGGGAGCTGTGGGTGCTTTCAGGCAGGAGAGAGATTGTGTAAGAACTGTGGCTGGATTGGAAGGGTTGAGCCTGAAGGCTGGGAGGCTGGCACAGCAATCCTTGTGGGAAATGACAGACTCAGGGAAGGGCAGGGTGGGCGGGGAGGCAGAAAGGACAGATTTGATGGATGTTCACGAGGCAGAAAGGAGAGGACATGGTGCCTGGCCACAGGGCTGGGTGGCATCCAAGAGGAGGCCCAGGGCTGATGGGGGTGGGAGTTGGTGGGGCTGTCCCTAAGGAGAGGGAGCAGATTTGGAGGGAGATGGCTTTTCTTAAGAGTCACTCTTGCACATGGTGAGCGTGAAGTGTCCAGGGTCCATCCCGGAGAGCCACCAAGTAAGTAGCAACCCACCCTGTGGCCCACTCTTCCCTTCGGGTTTCCAGCCCTGGAGCAATAGGACAGTGCCTGTACCATTTTGTCAAAGGGAAACTGCAGCCAGAGAGGACAAAGAGAGTTATCCAGGGATCTGGGCTCACAGAGGGCCTCCACTGCAGTAGTTGTGCCCAAGAAATGAGAGCTAAGGTGCTGGTATCTCTTGCCCCTCCAGACCCCTGTGTTGGGGAGTGCAGGGTTAGCTGCTGTGGTGGCCCCTAGGTTAGGGGCTGTTTCGCTGTCACATGGGAGTCCACAGGTAAGTGCTAGCAGGGCCTCAGCTCCATCCCCCTCAGCGTCCAGGTGCTTTCATCTTCATGCTCTGCATGCCTTAGGATGTTGTCCTGTTAAGCTCTCCTCAGGGTCCATTATCCAGTCCAAGGGACTGAGAAAGAAATTTCAGGGAGTCCTAGTACTGAGGGGAGGAAGGGGAGAATGGCTATTGGGGGACAGTGAGGGCTGTCTGCCTCACCGCACCATGGGTCCAGGTGGCCTATGCAGGGGGTCTCAGCCCAAAGGGGCAGAGGACAGTAGCCACTTCACGTCTTTCCCTGCTGTGTCCACCCCCAGATCGCAACATGGCAGGAGCTGAGGCAGCTGCGGGAGCAGATCCGGAGCCTGGAGGAGGAGAAGGGGGCTGTGGCTGAGGCAGTGCGGGCCCTGGTGGTAAGCACGGGGGTCCTAGGCAGGTGGGGCATGGCAGCAAGATGACTCTGGATGCTTTTAATGGGAAAACCAATTTAAGGAACTTGAAGGATGTGGACATTCATTACCTCACATAGCAAGCCGTCCAGGGTCAGGCGTCCCTGGGATTGATGAATTAGTGGCTCCCCCAGCATCCCCAACCCAGGTTCTTTCCCTCTTTCCACCCGTGACTTCACTGTGGTGATTTGACCTCAGTTTCCCCTCTCACAGTTCCAAGATGGCTGCCGTAGTACAGCGTCTCTTTGCATGACTCTGCCAGAGGCAGAAAATGGGGCTTCTCTGGCTTGAGTGCCTTCCAAGAGCAGGGTGACCTTTCCTGAAGCATCCAGCAGAGTCTCCTCCTGTCTCATGGGCCCAGACTCCCCAGTCAGCAGCAAGAGGCAGCCTGGCCTAGGCCCACATTCCCTGAACTACAGGCTGCCCAGACGGGCAAACTGAGTCAAGTGTCTATGGGAAAAGAGGAAGGAGAGCAAGTGAGTTTGGGTTAGACAACCAACAGCATCTGCCACAGAGGGCTGAAAAATAATCATACACATAATAGCAGACGTTTATGTAGCAATCACTGTGTGCCAGGCACTGTTCTAGGTGCTTCCCTTATTCTCAATCCTTACAACAACTCTGTGAGACCAGGACATCCAATTCTACCGCTGAGAAAAACAAGGCTCCAAGAGGTTAAAATGTGCCAACTCTCACAGCCAGGAAATGGGAAAGGCAGGATTCACGTCCAGGCATTGGGGCTGCTTTTCACCTCTCTGCTCAAAGGCCTCTCACAATACTGATTACATCTCCCAGGGACCTACAGTATGTGTACCAGGCCCAGGCAGCACAAAATCAACACAGCTGATCTCAGTTCATGTTCAGTGAGTGCCTCTTCTCAAGGAAACCATGCAAGAGCCTGCTGGGGAGACTCCATTATCATCCCATTTCATGGATGGGGATAATACCGAGGCTATGAGAGGGGAAGAGATTTGTCCAAAAGCACAGAGCTGGTCAGCACCCAGCATTCAGAGCCAGGTCTGTCTGATTCCCTCTGCTGCTCAGGGTTGTAGAAGGCTCAGCATATCAAAGGCCTTGGTTGCAGGCGTGCAAATACACGCTCACAAAGTGCCAGGGATCACACTGCTGCCCACCTCATGGAGTGGGTTATGAAGGAACAGGATCATGTGACAGCCCTCTGCACAGAGCCAGGCTCGAGGCAACATGCAAAACGGGGCTTCAGGCGTGATTATTGTTATCTTTGCCTCCTCCCAGCTTTACTGACAGAGAAACTGAGGCACGGTCGAGGAGGGACCAGCCAGGCACTGGCAGAGCAAGGAATTCAGATCCCCTTTTACCCTCTTTTTTCCCTCCTCCCCACCCCCAACTTCATCAGCCTAATCACCCTGTCTCTTTTCTACCAGGTGAACCAGGACAACAGTCAAGTACAGCAGGTACTACAGGGAGTCAATATTCTGTCCCCGATGTGGGGTGGGCAGTGGATACCATATCAGTCATGATTCCTCCCTTGTATGTGGTGACAGTTCAAACAAGATTAAGGGAAAAACAAAACAAAACAAAACAGGCTCTATTGATTCATGAAACTAGAAATCGTCAGGTACAGCTGGATCCAAGTCCTGGCTCCACGTTTGGCTCTGCTTCCCTTTTATTCCCAGACCAGCTTTCTTCCATGGGGGATGGGAGGCTGGGTCAGGTGCAAAGAGGATCGCTTCTCTGATAGGCCCGGCCACAGCTCTGGAGCTGATTCTCTTGAGTTCAGTTGACGTCATGTGCCTGTCTTTGACCAATCACTGTGGCCAAAGGCAATGGCATGTTCCAGTAATCCAGGCCTGAGTCTGTCCCCATGGACATGCCGTGTGGTGGTAAGGGCGGGTTCCCGAAAGGAAACTCAGGATGTTGAGCCAAAAGAAGAGGCAACAGATGTCTACCACAGAGGTTCTGCCAGTAAGGCCAGGTCAGACTGGTTGAGGGACCTCCCCGCCTCTCCCACCACTCTGTCCTGGGCTGACCCTGCTTTCTCTGCTCCCAGAGCCCCCAATATCAGAGTCTGCGGGCACAGGGCCGGGAGATCCGGAAGCGGCTCATGCTCCTGTACCCCAAGGAGGCCCAGCTCGAGGAGCAGTTCTACCTGTGGGCACTGAGACTGCCCAACCGGACCCACCCGGATGTGGTAAGTGCCATGCTGGCCAGTGGGATAGGCCAGGGGCCTGCCTAGTGCCACCTTACCGGTGACGCCCGCTATCTCTCTGCAGCCCGTCGGAGATGAGAGCCAGGCCCGAGTGCTCCATGTGGTCGGAGACAAGCCAGGTGGGTCACACTTAACCCTGGGACCCCAGGCTGGGGGCAGGGGCTCCTGGGGTCTGGGACTGCGCTGGCGCCTGTAGAACCCCAGGTGCTGCGGGAAGTGGCTCTACCTTCCTGCCTCCAGCTGTCTCTGTGGAGCACTTCTCAGTTTCTATTCTTTCCCCTCACCTTATTGGTCCTTCTCACCCCGTCTTCTCTGTGTGCATATGCCTGTCTGTCTGTCTATCTCTTTGGTCCCCTTGCTTTGGCCAGTCTCTCATGGGCTTTTCCTCCCTGGCTATCTGTATCTCCCTCTCCCTGATTCTCCCTTCTCCCTAGTGCTTCCTTTTCTTTCCTTGTCTCCTTTCCTCTCCTTTTCTGCCTCAGCCTTCCCATCTTTCTCTTTGTTTCTCTCTATATGTGTCTCTTTCTTTCTTCTCGTTCTCCTCTCCCTCTGTCCCTTTTCCCTCCCTCTGTCTTCCTCTCTCTCCTTTTCTCTCCCTTTCTCTGCCTTACTGCCTCTCCTTCCCGCTGTCTCTAATCCTTTGTTTCTCTGTCCCTCTTCACTTTCTCTCCCCCTCTTACCCTTTTGCTTTTCATCCACATCCAGCTTTCTCTTTCCAACCCCGAGGCCACCTGGAAATTGCTGAGACACTCGACATCATCCGTCAGAAGTGAGCCCCCCTTCCAGCCCCTTCTGCCCAGCCCTCCTCACCCCAACAGCTGGCTGCCAGCTCTGCCTCCCCTGGCTCAGCACAGGATGTGGAACTGCCAGGACCACACCCAGCATGAATGTTTGATGTCCAGTCCCCCGCCTGGCAGCTGGGCCTCTGCCCTGGGGTGCTTGAGTCCCTCTCTTCCCCTACCAGCCCTGGTTCACATGCCCCCACCTGTCTGTCCATCTGTCTCCCAGGCGCCTTTCCCACGTGTCTGGCCACCGCTCCTATTACCTGCGTGGGGCTGGGGCCCTCCTGCAGCATGGCCTGGTCAACTTCACACTCAACAAGCTCATCCGCCGGGTATGGGCCAGGATGGGAGGGCTGCCTGGAGGGGGTGGCATTGAAGCTGAGCTCAGAATGCTCAAGGCAGAGAGGAGGAGGTATGACCTCTATTCCAGTCACTGTTTTCAGAGCTTTACATGTTTGATTGACACATTTAATTCTTATATCAACTTTATGAAGTGGGTGCTGGTATTATCTCCACTTTAGAGATGGAGAAATTGAGGCCTGGAAAGAGGAGTAGGTAGTCCAAGACCTCAAGGCTAGTGTGTTGGTTCAAGGCTAGAGCCTACACTTGCAACCACCGCTCCTCACTGCCTGCCTTCAGTTAAGGGGAATGTTGGGGAAACACGGCATCTGTTGAAACTGGAGGGGTCAGCAAGGCTTAATGCATGGAACATTGGCCATGGTGAGGGACTTGGACATTTCCCAAAGGACATTTCCTGGGAAACCAGAGGAGGCTTTAAACGGGAGGGACATGGTCAGATCTCTACTAGCGAACTATACTTCCAGCTGCCCTGTGTGATTCGATCTGAGTGAGGAAACCATGAAGGTTTCCAGTGACAGGGACTCCAGGGCCTGGGCTCAGACCATCCTCGATTTCCTCTGTGGTGGAAGGGATTTTGGAGTGATAAGCGGGGGTGCCATTGGCTCACCCTGCAGTGTCCCTTCTTCAGACCTGAGCTTGGGGTCCTGGCTGTGGTCCTCACTCCTTCCCCTCCCCCTCACAGGGCTTCACCCCCATGACGGTGCCAGACCTTCTCCGAGGAGCTGTGTTTGTAAGTGAGGACTCTACTGCGCACACCCAGCTGTGTGTCAGGCCCCTTTCTGAGGCAGGGAGACCAGTCTGCCTGCCCTGAGGAAATAGCCATGGGGCTGGCTTGAGGGGGTCAGATGCTTCCAAGGAAGGAGCAGGGGTTGTGACTACAAAATGGAGGAGGCCAAGCTTACCTGTCCCCTGACCTGTGGCTTGGCCTCCTTTCCAGGAAGGTTGTGGGATGACACCAAATGCCAACCCATCCCAAATTTACAACATCGACCCCTCCCGCTTTGAAGACCTCAACCTGGCTGGGACATCAGAGGTCGGCCTTGCAGGTAAGCACCTGCCTAGGGACAAGGGGGTGCTCAGGACACCTCCAGTGTCCTCAGAACAGGAGGGATTGTAAGGGGATAACCAGGAGCATCCTGGAGGGTGGCAGCTGCTGCTCAGGATATCTCAGCAACCCCAGGGCAAATCTGTATGGTTGTGCAGGTTGTTTACTGCACAACAGAACAATGAGGATCCAGTCACACGCCCTGACATGAGGTTGTGCCTGCCAGAGGGGATACCTTTTCTAATTCGCACAAATGTTTCCTATGATGGAGGGTAGCCCTGATTGACCCATCCTGTCCCCTTCTTCCAGGCTACTTCATGGACCACTCTGTGGCCTTCAGGGACCTGCCAATCAGGTGATGCCCAGTTCCTATAGACCTTGTTCCCACCTGTGACATTCCCTCTGCCTTCCCTAACCCCACCTCCCCTGCTCCCCCAGGATGGTTTGTTCCAGTACCTGCTACCGGGCAGAAACAGACACAGGGAAGGAGCCGTGGGGGCTGTATCGAGTGCACCATTTCACCAAGGTTGGCAAAGCTGGGTCTTTGAGGGGAGGGGTGTTACACCAACAGCCCAGGGCCTCCTGACTCCTGTGCCCCCTGCCCTGACCCAGGTAGAGATGTTTGGCGTGACAGGCCCTGGGCTGGAGCAGAGCTCACAGCTGCTGGAGGAGTTCCTGTCCCTTCAGATGGAGATCTTGACGGAGCTGGGCTTGCACTTCCGGTGCGGAGTGGGGAGGCTGAGGTGGAGGGTGAGGGTGCGAGCTGGCTAGATGCCCCCCTATTTTGAAAATCCTTCCCACTTCTCTCTGCCCCCTTTTGCCTATATTAGGATTATATATAGGCTATCTGTCTGCCTATCAATCTCTCAAATCTTGCATAGGATTATGGGATTGCAACTACAGCATAAGCAACACAGGGCCCTCCAGGGTCGAGACATAGGCCCCTTCCCTCCTGTTGCCCCCACATTCCTAGGGAGCCACCTCATCTGCATGATCCAAAATGGCTTCTCACCACCCAGTGGGAAGTGGGGAAGGCCACACCCCTTTCTTTTAAGGGATGACCCAGATGTTGCAAGCCTACTTCCTCTCTCACGGTCAGTCACACGTAGCTTTCAGAAGATGCTGAGAAATGTGGACTTTTTTCTGGGTGACCCCTTACAAAAATCTGGGTGTGCCACTGTTATAGACAGTGGAATGGCCATGGTGAGCAGCCTGGAGATGTGGCCACATTCCCTTTCTCCTCCCCTGCCTCCTCTCCCATCAATTCCTTTTCTGCCTCCTGCTCCTGTACCAGCTCCATCACCACCCCCTGCCCCGAGGAGGTGTCCCCTTTGCCACTATCTCCTCTTTTTTACTTCTTTTTTTTTTTTTTTTTTTTAAGTTTTTTTTTTTGGGGAATTGGGGGGATGGGAACAGTGCTGGGGAATTGGGGAAAGGGGAACAGACAAGTTGCTGTCGTTTTGTTCTTCAGTCTAGTTGTGGAGGATGTTGCTTCACTGGCCCAAGTTAGCACCATCATTGCGCTCTTCCCGGGCGAGGCAGATCAGTCGCCGGCTTCTGGACGGCCGCTCACTGCGGCTGCTGGCCGCTCACGCTGGCTGCTGGCCACACACGGTAGCCCATGGCAATCCACTGCCACAGGGACTGCAGCCCACGCCGTCGCCGGCGACTCATGGCAGCCCAGCTCCAGGTTGAGCTGTTGTTCAGCATCTTAGCTGTGGAGGGCAGTGTCACTGGCCCTCATATGTGGGATCCGAACCGGGGACCTCTGGCATCCCAAGCCAGTTCTTAACCATCGCGCCACTCGGCCGGCCCTCCTCTTTTTTACTTCTATTGCCCACTTTTTAAACTACCTTCTCTTCCATCGCCTTCATTGTTATTCCTTCCTCCTCTTCTCACCCGCTGACCTTCACCTTGTCCTTCATTGTGCCTGCAGGGTTCTGGACATGCCCACCCAGGAACTGGGCCTCCCTGCCTACCGCAAGTACGACATTGAAGCCTGGATGCCAGGCCGTGGCCGCTTTGGCGAGGTGAGCCCCTGCCCCAATGGGGACATAGGGAGGAAATAGGGTGACAGCGCCCCCCACGGTGGTCCTCTCAGCCCACCCAGTCCCCTCGCCCAGGTCACTAGCGCTTCGAACTGCACGGACTTCCAGAGCCGTCGCCTGCACATCATGTTCCAGAAGGAGGCCGGGGAGCTGCAGTTTGCCCACACGGTAAGCACCCGCACGCCGCGCCTCTCCTCCCCTAGACCCACACGCCTCAGCCCCTCCCCGGGGCCAGCCAGGCCTGGGCCTTCATGGGAGCATGCCTCTCTCCCAGGTGAATGCCACAGCCTGTGCTGTCCCCCGTCTCCTCATCGCCCTCCTGGAGAGCAATCAGCAAAAGGTGAGGGGGTCAAAGGAGCACCCCACAGAGGCACAGGGTGGAGGGCTGGTGCAGCGGCAGCATCCTGAGGCCTGCTCTGTCCCCAGGACGGCTCGGTCCTCGTGCCCCCTGCCCTCCAGCCCTACCTAGGCACTGACCGGATCACGGCCCCCACCCACGTGCCTCTCCAGTACATCGGCCCCAACCAGCCCCAGAAGCCCAGGCTCCCCGGCCAGACTGCCTCGAGCTGAGGACCCATCCTCATCAGTCACCTGGGTTGTCACTGCTTCCTGGAACTCAAGAGACCCTGGACCCCTGAGGCCTGTTATCCTAAGCCTGGCCTGCCATCTGCTTCATGCCTGGGCCTCTGGGCTCCACGGTCCACCTGTCCTTCCTTATTTCCCCAGAATCAGTCAGTGACCCTGTTGTCACTGGCGGTCCCAGCCTGCCCTGGGAAGCAGGACTTCTGGGGACTCGAAGGCTCTAGGGATAGGGGAAGGACAGAGGCCTCCATGCCTTTCTTCTTCCCTCCCTCGGTGCTTAGCAGGAAGTTCCCAATAAATGGTCAGAACAAAGGCCTTTGTAGATCTGTGAGCACGGGAGATGGCCCTGGCCAACTTGCCGGGGAAAGGAGACTGGGCAATTGCTCAGAGGTACTAAATCATCAGAGACCATGGCTGCAAGTGTCCAGCAACCCCCAGAGCACATGGAGGGTAGCTTGTGGGCCACTAGGGGAACTGAGAGGATGCCAAGGCCTCTCCCCTTACTTTGAGACAGTGGCACCTCGTGCTGACCCATTTCAACCTCACCCCTCGGTCCCCAGCTCCAGGTAGGGGACCAGTAGGCCGCACAAACTCAGTGAAAGTCAAACTCGCTCTTCTCCTAGGTATGCCCCTCTCAGTACGTACAGCCATTTTCCCAGCTCCTCAGGCCATATAGCCCTGCAAGTCATCCTTGACTCCTCTCACATCCAGTCTGTCAGCAGACCCTGGCAGCTCCACCTTCAAAATATTTCCAGAGCCTGCCCTTGCTTTCTCGTCCCTCTCCACTGTTATCTCCCTTTTGGAGAGTCACACAGCCTCTTCACTCTCCCTGCTCCCGGTCCTCCACACACAGCCTGAAGGACCCTACGTCAGGGCACATCCCCCCTACTCAGAGCCCTTCTGTGGCTCCATCTCACTTGGGAAAGGACAGAGTTGTCACCATTGTCCACAAGGCCCCACACGATCTGCCTCTGTCGTCCTCTTCAACTCACCCATTCTCTGTCATGCTCTGGCCACCCCCAATCTGCCTTACTGTTTGAACTCTGCAAACTCATTCCTGACTTAGGCCTTTGCGCTTCCCCATCCCCTCCTTGGCCCCTCTTCCCCTAGGTCTTGTGTGATTGCCTCCATTTTATCACTCAGACCTTTGCCCAAGTGTCACCTCCTCAGTGGGGACTTCCCTGGTTAAAGCAACATCTCCAGCACTCAGTATCTACACCTGCACACATGTGATACACGTCACTCTCCTTTCTTACATAATGTGTGTTTGAGGATTCTGTCTCCACCTTCTCAAATGTCTGCTCCAAGAGGACAGGGCAGTCTGCTAGTTCCTTCACTGCTGTAGCCCCAGGGTCTAGAAGCTGGCTGAGCATATAGTAGGTGCTCAATAAAAATTACTGGAATGAAGGTGCTTGAATCTGCAGTTCCCAGTGCCCAGTGCTGCCTAAGTTAACTTATACACACGATAGCTTAATCCTCACTGTAAGGTCTCACCTGTCGGTTGTCACCCACCCTATTTCACAAAACAAAAAACAGGTCTCAGAGAGGTTAAGCAATTGCCCCAGGGCTGCAGGGCTGGTAGCCAGTGGAGCCAGGAGTCAGGCAGAATCCAGCCACAGTCTTTGAGGAAACGGGCTGAGACACTTTCCTCACTACTTTCCAGATGAGGAAAGTGGGGCCATGGGAGGGCAGGAGTTGCCTAAGGTCAGTCTGTAAGTGGCTGCTGCTGGATTCGAACCTAAGTCTGCCTCCCAGTGAGGCCTTAAGCTCGTCAGAACTTGTTTCTCTGGGGAAACCTCCCTCTTCCTATGCTGGTGCTCAGGTGCCAGAAGCTGGAGGGGAGTGAGTGCAGGGCGTGGGTCCCCATGAATAATTGAGGGTCTTAGGCAGGTCGGCGCTCCGCAGCTGTTGCCCAGCCGCGGGCGGGGAGGGGGCGGCGGTGACGTCACTTCCTCCCTTGCGGGGCCACGGGCGCGAGTTATAAGGAGCTGCCGCCCTGAACGGCACAGCGCTGAGGACCTTGGTCCGGACGTGCCATCATGCAGCGCCGCAGGCCCGCCTCCGTACTGCTGTTGCTGCCGCTGGCACTGTTGCTGGGGTCGGGTGAGTGCTAGAAACTGGGGAGGGGGCACCTCGGTGGCCAGTCCGGGGAGCAGAGACTTGGGTGACTGGAGGCTGGGACGGTGCAACCAGCTGGGGGGGATTAGAGACTTCATGGGCCCAGCTTACAGTTGGGGACGGTGCACCTGGCAGGTTGGCTGGGGTGGGGAGTGTGGGTACTGGGATGCCCTTGGAGATGAGATCAGCACCGGGGACAGCGCCCGGGGTCTGGAGCCCAGCTCCCATCTTCTTCCTCCACAGCCACTGCAGCTCCCTTGGCGCAGAGGCCCTCCAAGAAAGAGGTGAGAAGTGTGGACCCCTTACCCTGCCTCATCTCCCTGGGGCCCTGGCCCTACTTGCCCAGCCTCCTCCATGATCATCTGCCCTCTAACCCTTCAACTGCTCTCCTTACTCCCATCTGCCTGCCCTCAACCTCCCCTCTGACCCTTCACCCCCAGCTGACCCGCTGTCTGGAAGAGGTGGTCACAGAAGTGCTGACGCTGGGCCGGGCCCAGCGAGGCCCCTGCACAGCTCTCCTCCACAAAGGTAAGGAGGGCCCAGGCCCCAGTTCCTCTGGGAGCCCCCACCCGACCCGGGGCTCTGCCCAGCGTGTCCAGCCCGGCCCCCAACCCACCCTTAGGGCTCCCTACAGAGGTATGGGAGGGGGGCAGAGAATGTCCCTGGCACCTGGCCCTCCTCTCACAGTTCCAGGCAGTCCCCCTGTGGGACTTTGGGTGGACCCCAGAACTCCTCAAGATTTCCCAACTGGCTGCACAGACAGCATCCTTTCTCTTTCCACCAGAGATGTGTGAGACAGAGCCCTACGGCTGTGTGTCCACTGAGGAGAAAGGTCTGCTGGTTGGGGATTTCAAGAAGCGAGGGGCTGGGAAGATGAGGTCCAGCCAGGAGGTGAGGGACGAAGAAGAGGAGGAGGCAGAGGAGAAGACCCACAAGTCTGAGGTGCGGGAACAGGCCATCCACAGCCGGCTCCACCAGGAGGAGGACCACGAGGAGGAGGAGGAAAAGAAGAAGAGGGGGCCCATGGAGACCTTCGAGGGCTTGTGGAAGCAGCATCTAGAGGGCGAAGGGAGTCCCCAGAAGCGGGTGGCAGAGCAGGCCAGTGACGAGGAGACAGCCCAGTTCGAGGCTGAGGAGAAGGGCGTGCAGGTGCTGGGCGGGGGCCGCAGCCTGTGGCAGGGGGCCGAGAGCAGGGCAAGAGAGAGGCAGGAGGACTCGCTGCACCACCACCACCTCCACCAGCCAGCAACTGAGCCCAAGCAGGAGGAGAAGGAAGAGACTTCGGACAGGGAGGTGAGTGGCGGAGGCAATGGGGAGTGGGGTGGATCAAATGTCAGTGGAATTACTACCAAACAGCTACCGGTGTTGGGCCATAAATAATAGCAAGATCCAGCATGAATGGGTGATGGTGACCAGGACCAACACCAGGACTAGGTAGCAACAGCCAGGCAGGGCCTCTCCTCGACCAAGATGACTTCCAGTCTGAGATTACAGTAACCCTCCAGTGCACAGCAGTGTCTGAGGTAACCACCACTGCTAGTCCCTCACAAGCAAATTGGCCACATGAAAAGTGACTGCTGTGCCTGGTTCACTGGGCTATAATGGACACTACTGCTGGGTCATGGAAAGTAAGTCTCCATGATTGGTGGCAGTAACCAAAATGGCCATCACCTCGTAAATGCATCATGACATCCAAGTTGGGCACCTTTGCTAGTCCTGTGTCGGCTGCTGTTGGCTATGGCAGTCACCACAGACCGCACCACCGGTCATGTTGGCCCACTCTTCCAGGGTTACGGCAACCACTGTGGTCACCATCGCAGCCCAGAATGACCAGAATGACCACTGCTGGCTTCCATTGTGTGAGCTGACATGGCCCACATTCATGGGTGACCACTGAGGTGGTCTGACCTGACCAGCCATTTCTGATCCCACCAGGAGCAGGATATGGAGCAGCTGGAGCACATGAGAGAAGAGCTGAAGAAGGCGACAGAGATGCTGGGGGAGGAGCTCAGGAGGGAGGGCTGACTCCTGACTCCTCCTCCTTTCCAACCCACTCTATGGCTTAGGACTGTTGACTCCCAAAGCCTCCACCCCACCTGGCACCCCACTCCGCTCCCCAGCCTGCAGGAGTAGGGAGACGGGTGTGCCTTGGAAGCAGGCCTGAGGGGCCAAGTCTGCGCTGGGTAGGAGGGCTGGGCTCAGACTGACTCAGGAAGTACCCCACACCACCCACGTAATCCACTCCAACCCTTCCGAGTGAATAAAGCACAAAGAAAACCACCAACGCTTACTGTGTAGCACTCAATTTTGGAGGGATGGCGCCCAGGAGTAAACTCGGGGACTGGGAAAGCAACTGTCAATCTAGTCTCTGGTTGTCAGCACTGGGATTTTATTAAATTGGAAATTCTATTAACAATTATGTCAGACGGGATCATCAGGGAGAGGTTTTGAGGCTGGGGTAAGAGGTAGCCGGTTTGGGCTCCGGCCACTGTGGACCACGATGTCGTCATATTCATCCTGGAGGCAGAGGAGGCCAGGCAGAAGGGCTCAGGTGGCTGCCACCTTGCCCACTGCCCAAGTTCTCCCACCCACCCAAAGAACTAAGTCTTGACTTGGAGTCCGAGTTCCCCGCTCAAAGTTCAATCTCCCTGCTCCTAGTTCTCCACCCACCATTTTCAAGGTGACCTGTGTTCTCCCATTGCTACTGCTTGGGCTCTAGCCCGGTTGCTTCTCCAGTTCTTCAGCAGCCACAGCCACTGAGGTTTCCTTCCTCCACCCCTTCCCACTGCCTTTACCCAAATTCCTCAACCACAACCATTCAATGTCATCCCCTGCCCCAGGTAGTATCCCTGCTGGCTGGGTTCTCCAAAGAAACCACCTCACGGCTGGCTAAGGTCTTTCCCTACTGCTGCCAGTGTTCAAGTCACTGCTGTCCAACGTCATCTTCCCACAGCTTGAGTTCCCCAACTCATGCTTCCACAAAATCACTCCCCACGCTGTTGCCCACTGCTGCATATTTACCAATCACTATGACAGGTCTTTTCTCTACCTCTGCCTGAGTTTTCCCTCTGCCATTGCATTAATTTCTCAACCACCACAGCCCAAGCTCTCCCCACCACCCCTGTACAGGTCACTTGCACTGCTTGTTCTCCTGCCTCAGTTTTCTAATTGCAGCAGCCCAAGGTCAGTCTCAATGTGCTACCTAATTTCTCTTCTCCCCTTTCCCACCTGCCTGTCTACCCTGACTCCCCAGCTGGGCCACCCACTCTTTCCTCCTGACTCACGCCCTCGTCCCCGCTGTCGCTGTCGCTACTGCTGCTGCAGGGGCCAGGCTTGTCGTCCTCGTCCTCGGGCTCAGGGGATCCATGTGCACGGAGGAGGCGGACGAGGACGGGGTTGGGTCGGAGTGTGGCACTGCCCAGTGGGGTGCGGCCACCGTACATGCGGGCAGCAGGGTCGGCACCCGCCTTCAGGAGTAGCTCCAGCACATCAGACGCTTGGGCCTCCACTGCCAAGTGCAGGGGGCTCCGGCCGCACGTGGGCTCCTGCAGAGTGCAGCAGAGAGGTCAGAGGAGGCCCTGCCCCATTCTGGGAACAACCCCTGCCACACCGTCTCCCTAGGGCGACTCACCGGTTTGTTGAGGTCAGCTCCAGCCTCCCAGAGTAGTCGGGCCATCTCTGCATCTTTGTGGATGACAGCCACATGGAGTGGGGTGTGGCCTGGGAACAAAGCTACTGGTGTCAGATGATGGGGGTGAGGGGCCTGGGTCCCCAGTGCCACAATCCTAGGGGAGGGCTTTGTGGCCTGAGGGTGGCTGAGTTTGGGGTCTATCACCTTAATTCCTGGGTATGTCAAAGAGGCACCTGCATTGCAAATTCCTAAGTCTCAGGTGGACTGGAACTTGCTGGCAGTGCCAATGCCTAGGTTGTGGGATGTCTGGGGCCTATGGCTGAAGAGCCTGGTGGCTAAGGACAGGAGGCCTGGATCTTGGGGGCCAGGAGACCTGAGTCTCTGGTCTTACTTCACAAAGAACCTGGACTCCAAATTCCTGGGTCCTGAGTAGATAAAGGGCCTGTGACCTTGGGGGGGGGCCTGAACACTGGGTCCTGGATGACCTCAGTCCCTTTGTGGAGGGACCTGGTCCCAGGTAGTTGGACTTAAGAGATGGAGGAGCTGCGACTCAAATGCCAGGGCCCCGGATAGATAGGGTCTTTTTACCCATGATGCCTGGCTGAGGAGGGCTATCCCTGAACCCCAATGTCAATCTCTGGGAACCTGGGCTGCCAGAGTTTCACACTGGGCCAGGGCCTTGAGTTCCCTTATTTTGGGTGGGCTGGGTGAGTTGTGCTTTCCAGCTGGAGAGACTGGGCCCAATAATTGGATCTGGCCTCGTAGCTCTAAGCCTGTGGGTTCCAACTGATCTGGGGCCTCCAGGTGGGGGTCCTGGGTCCCACACAGCCAATTCTCAATAATCTGGAGCCTGGGCAGGGGTCTTTGGTCCCAATAACTGGATCCCTGAAGTCTCAGTATTATTTCCCAAGGGACTGGGTGTCGAATCAGAACTGAGCCCACAGCCAGGTGCTCTCCCCTGCTTGGAACCCCAGGCCCTTCTCAGAGCCTGTGGACCCTCACCCTCATAGTTTTCAGCCTCCAGTTGCAGCTTCCAGTCCTCCTCATTCTCATCCTCTTCCTTCTCCAAGTCAGGTTCAGGGTACAAGGCAACAGAAGTGTGGTCGGTGTCAGGGGCACGGTCAGGGCTCTGAGCGAGGTAGGTACTGGGGGCTCCCCTGGGGCGCTGGGGGCGGGGCTGGAGCAAAACACGAGCACAGGTGTGCTCCCCCACGCGGCAGGCCAGATGCAGCGCTGTGTGGCCCCCACGCTCTGCCACGAGCAACCCGGCGCCAGCCGCATACAACTTCTCTACTGTGGATGCCTCCCCCAGAATGGCTGCGAGGTGCAGGGCGGTCTGCAGGAACAGAGGGCAATGGTTAGGGGTCGCACTGAGAATCCTGGCCCCCAAGCCTTAAACTGTCCCCTGGGGCTCACCTGGCCCAGGTCATTCTGCAGGTCCAGGTATTCAGTTCCAGCCGCGAAGCCTAGGAGGAAATCCAGGAAGGGCTCATGCTGATGAATCACTGCCAAGTGCAGTGCCCTAAGGACAAGGACAGGGGTCATAAGACAGAGGTCAAGTATTCTTGCATTCATTCACTCAACAAACATGGAGCACCAACTGTGTGCTAGGCATTGTGACCACAGTTACGGAACTAGTCAGGAATCAGAGAGGGTCAGGTCAGAGTTAATTCAGCAAATTTGTTTAATCAGTGTTTATTAAGTAGGGTTTCTACTTTCGAGATGAAGTAACATGCACCAGATTTCCCTCCCATCTGAATCAACCAACATTTTAGACAAAACAGGTTATATGAAACAACAGTTTTCAAGATACTGGACATTGTGCAATGAATAACAGTGAGACAGGAAACAAATGTGGTGAGCCGTTCGATTGACTGCCACAGCTTACTATCTTGAGAGTTTCCAAGCCACGGTGCAGAGAAGGGGAACCTAGCAAGGGCCAGCAGATTGCCTGAGGAGATGGAGTTGAGTTGGGGGAGAGCCAAGCGGCAAGAGTGATAGGACAGAGAACCTGGGAGGAGAGCTGCACAGGGAGAGACCCTGGAGATCCACAGAGGGGCCTCTCAAGTATTTAGGAGAATGCTGATCAGGGCATGGGTGTGAGGAAACTACCCCAGTCTGGGGGAGAAACCATCCAAAAGGATTAAAGGAATGTGCCCATTGCTCACACAGGGCCAGGAATAGCGCCAGACTAAGAAAAACCCATAATTCCCAGAACATTGGGTAGAATACTCTGGAAGGTCTTACTTGAATAGTGGAGAATAATGAGCCCTAGATGGAACACTGTTCAGAACCCACCTAACAAATCATAAAAGCAAAACCCAAAAGGACCAAACTACTTACAAGTAATTTAACTGCATCCTAGAACAATACTCAAGAATATTTATAGGAACACAACACTAGCCAGCCTAACAAGGTAAAATCCACATCTGGCATCTAATCTAAGATTATCAGGCATGCGAAGAAGCAGGAAAACATGACCCATAATGAGAATAATTAATCAACTGAAATTGACCCAGAATTGACCCAGGTGTTAGAATTAGCAAACAAGAATATTAAAACAGCCTATTATAACTGTATCTCATACATTCTGAAAGTTAAGTAGAGACATGGATGATAAAAGGAAAAGACTCCTATTGAACTCCTAGAGATAACTATAGCATCTGACATAAAAAATATACTGGATGGGATTAGCAAGAGATTACACATTGCAGAAGAAAAGGTTAATGAACTTGAAGACTTCACAACAGAAACTCTCCAGAATGAACCACAAAAAGACTATTTAAAAATGAAAAGAACACCAGTAAGTTGTGGGACAATGTCCCTAATGGAGGAGGGGATAGAAAAAAAGATATTCGAAAAAATAATGTCTAAAAAATTCTCCAAACTTGCTGAAAACTCTAAACCCACAGATCCAATAAGCTGAATGACTGCCAAGAACAAAAAATATAAAGAAAACTACACTAAGGCCCATCATAAAAGAACCTGTCCAAAACCAATTATAAAGACCAAAAATCTTAAAAGCAGCCATAGGAAAAGATATCTTAAGTAGAGAGGACTAGAAATAAGGATGACAACAGATTTTGCCTAGGATATAATGTATAAAAACCACAATGGAGTAACATTTTAAAAGTACTCAAAACTAATGACTATCAAAGTTGAATGCTTTAACCTAGCAAAAATAGCTTTCAAAATTGAAGACAAAATACAGATGTTTTCAGATGCACAAAAGCCGAAAGAACTCATTACCAGCAAACCCACACCATCAGAAATGCTAAAGGAAACCTGCAAGCAAAAGGAAAACGATATCAAATGGAATTATGGATCTATACAAAGGACTAGAGAACACTGAAAACAGTAATGCTATAGGTAAATACATACATTTTTTTCTTACATTATGTAAGTCTCTTTAAAAGATAATTTTAAAAAAAGAATTGACTGGGGCTGGCTGAGTGGCTCGTTGGTTAAGAGTTGGCTTGGGACACCAGCTCTGAGCAGCAGGGCCACCGGTTCGTATCCCACATGGGCCAGTGATGCTGCACCCTCTACAGCTAAGATGGTGAACAACAGCTCGACCTGGAGCTGGGTTGCCATGGGTCGCCAGTGATGGCGTAGGCTGCAGTGGGGCTGCAGTGGGCTGCCGTGAGCT